GGTACCAACAGCAACTGGGATAAGCTTCTAATCTTCTTATTAGTGATGCTTCCCAACGTGCTTTTGGGATCCCAGACCAGTTCAGTGGCAGTGGGTCTGGCACTGCTTACACCTTTGCAATCAGCAGGACTGAAGCTGGTGTTGCTGGAGATTATAAATGGTAGCAGCGTAACAGCTACCCTCTCACCTAGTGATACAGAGCACTACACAAACTCCACTGCTTTCCTGCACTTTCCTCTTGCTCAGCTGCTCCCAGACCAAAGGCATTATCTTTGTTAAACTGCTGCCACCTACAGGGCAGTTGGGGAATCTCTCACAGTACTGGCTCTCCTCCACATCATCCCATTCTTTCCTGCCATATCTAGAGTTCCCAGCATGCAACATTCCCCAAACTGGGATTTATTACATCAGACCTAGCAGTTTCCCCATAACATTCCCAATGCTTTTGTTCTTATAGGGTTGATCCCACCTTCCACTCCTACTAAGAACCTGTGTCTAATGAGGACAGTTTAATCTGGATAGAAACAGTGAGCAGCAGTTAACATTGAGCCACGGGCTATTCTGTGGCCTAAACACCCTTTCCCCAAACCCAACAGCTATAAGAGCCACACGTGGCAGAAATACCTGGACTATCGGAAACTGACAGACGGGATCAGATCCAAGGTCAGCTCATCCAGTATCCAGTGACCAGCCCCTATCTCAGAGGAAGGTGTAAGAACCCTGCAGTAGACAGATGTGGGATAACCTGCCCCGTCACTCCCATGGGTCTTGTTATGATCTCTGGGACAGATTAGTTTAAACCCTGAAGAACAAGGTTTAATATCCCTTTCAAAATGTTTGGTATGAATTACAACAACTCTGGATATTCTCGTTATACATGTTACGTTATACATTCTCGTTATCCTGTCCCATTTTAAATCTTGTTAAATTATTGGTTTCAATGATTTCCTGCATCAACAAGTTCCACAGCTTAATCACATGTTGTGTAAAAATATATTTCATCTGTGTTGAATTTCCCACTTTTTAATTTCATTGACTGGCCCTCTGTCCTGATGTTCTGAGACAGAGAATAGACGCTCCCAATCTACCTTCTTTAGACCATTCATGATTTTACATACTTTTGTCCTGATTCTTCCTATTTTTTCCTTTCTAAGGTAACAATCCCAATCTTCTCAGTCTCCCTTCATACTAGACGTTTTCCCAGGCCCTTGATAATTCTCCTTGATCTTCTCTGAACTCCTTTTAGTTCTGCAATAGCCGTTCTGAGACCAGGTCACCAGTACGGCATGCAGTATTCCAGATAAGGCTGCACTATTGATCTCTGAAAAGGTATTATAAATTACTGGTATTATTCTCCATCCTATTCCTTATACAACCTAACTAATGTCAGCTCTCTTGACCAGAGGCGTTCTTTGAGCTGTCTAAAATGATACTCAGCTCACTTTCATAGAATAGAATCATAGAATATCAGGGGTGGAAGGGACCTCAAGAGGTCATCTAGTCCAACCCCCTGCTCAAAGCAGGACCAATTCCCAACTAAATCATCCCAGCCAGGGCTTTGTCAAGCCGGGAC